GGGTTTTATTCAGTGCGGCAACAAGAAGCTCGGAAATTGTTTTCATTTATTTGAATGACGGAAATTTATCCTAACGATTCGTTTTTTTCATCTTAAAGACCCTGGATCCTCACCTATGAATATTATATGGAGAAAGAAATGAAGAAATTTGTGGTACATACTTAAAATTAGGTGAAGTTCAACTTGATATTGATTTCCTAAAAATGCTCTGTGAAAGCTCAGTGAGTTTCGAGAGAAGCTGGTATAACTTTCCATCATTCCCATTTCATGTTAGCTATTTCACACGAGGAAATCGATCCCTATTTCAGCATAATCCAACAGTTTACTTTTCAGCTAACTATGACTCATTAGAGCAATGTTCTCAAACCAGCTGCCCGCGGACCGAATGCAGCTCCCGAAGCAGTTTTATACGGTCCGTGAATATATTTCAAATATATATTTATTGAAAATATACTGCTGCTATTATTTCGAGATTTTAATTACTTGAAGTCCGAGTTTACATTATTTTAATTGCCTTAGCATTAAAAACTAAAGCGAATAACGCATCAGAAAATCTGTAAATTTAGCTTATTAATTTACACTAATATACAAATAAATCTTATTCGAAGATCTAAAGATGCAATTTTATTTAACTCTTATTCGTAGTTGTGAAAAAAAGAGAAAAAATGTACTAAGAGTAATCGCTTTGCTTGGGAACATATTTATTTGTGAACAACGTTTTTGACGTGACCGATGAACCTCTAGAATCCGTGATGAGTCTAATTTCTGTAGTAACGTTTCTCCAGTATACCGTCATAACACGCTCAAATTTGTATTTACATACAAACATTTGTATTTTAATTTATTTGAAAATTTAATAAATAAGTGACTAGATTTTTCACTATTTATTCTCAAGTTTAGTCCCACTTGAAGAGTTTTCACTTTTTTTTTTGAATTTAAGTTATTTATTGATTAATTAAAGACGTTAGAATTATTTTAAAGAAATGTCAGTTTGGAAATTTAATATTTAGCTGTCAATATATTTGAATTACAAAGTTGTGACCAACAAAAATGTCATTCATGTACCAAACTTTAGATTTGAGATTGAAAATAAATAGAAATCTAATTTTATCCATTTGCGCTATTAATATTATAATTTATGCATGTTTTGATAAATACTTAGTAAGCGAAATTAAAAATTTAGTTACTATATGTTTTATTTTGTTGGCAAAGAATTTTGCTGCAATATTTGCTAAAAACAATTGGCTCGTCGGCAGTTTTCAGATCGACATGCATGTAATTCCAATTTGAATGACACCTGCTTTACAGTTTTATGGACTTGACTTGTTTTGGTAGAGTTTTACAGACTTGACTTGTTCTGCTATAGAATTTTACAGCTTAACTTGTTTTGGCAGCATGAACTGATATGCAAACTCCTAATGGATTCGGGGAGAATTATCGCTGTGTCTGAAGGTAACGATTAAGACTTGACAAGGTTAAATTACATTCTATTAAATCAGAACTTTGAACATAAAATGCACACCTCGAGCTAAACAAAATCAGCCAACCACTTTTGGCGACGTAACTTAAAATAACAGTAAATTTTAAATTTAAAACTTAGTAACCAAAGGCTACACGAATTGATTTTTAACTGGCTGAAAACTTCTCAATTAACTTAATCAATTAACGTAACAATTTAAAATCACAATAGCTATAACGCAAAGCTGAATAATTAAATCTTATCAGAGTTGACTAATCCTGGTAAAATGGCCTCGACAGCTAGAAACACACTGTGTCTTACAAGCCCGAAACCACAGCTTAAATACTCTCAAACTTGATTTGCATTCTATTAGGCAAACGGAAAGGAGAAGTGGTAGCACAGGCTGAAATTATAAATACCTGCCCAGGCAAAATAATAATAATCCTAAAATTTTCCTCTATATTCTTTGCTGCAGTTAAAAACAAAGCTGGAATTCCTTAAACAAAATTACAAAACTCTTAATCCTTAATATAAAGTTTACACTTTTGTTCTTTTTACGCAAATTCAATTTTAAGAAGGAGAGTTTGCTTATAATTAACAACTAAATTAACCAAGAAGACTCGTGCAACCAAAGCGTAACTACTTGATTGCATTTAAGAAAACTATTTCTACCTGGTCGTTCATGGAATGCTATCTGGTACAATCTTCGTTACCAATTATTTATCATTCCTTATATTTTCAAATCAAAATTATTGTGGTTTTTTTTTTTTTTTCCGAATCCCGATTTTTGACGGAGATGTTCTTTATATTTATAAAAATAAGATATCTAATATTTATGTTACCGTGAAAGACCGAAATCTGGAGAATGTCGATATTTTCCGGTGAATGTCAACATTCACATAGTCTCCTGATATATGTCTGAAATGATGCCTAAATATCCTTATTTCTCACTTACATCGGCATTGCCGTTCACTGATGGTGGGTAGTGAATATAAATATTTTTGTAACAATTTTACATTACAGTTTCTTACTAAAATATATTATAAGATATGTCAAAATAGAAGAAATTTTAAGTAACAGCACAAAAATAAACTGTGTAACTTACACGAACAGTGCATTCTAAATGAGAAAAGAAAATAACACCAATAATAAACTTACTTTATTATGTGGCTAACATTATACAATCTTATTTATTGAAAAAATCCGCCCAGATGGTAAAGTGATTAGGGAGCCAACTACGATACCGAAGGGCCCGGGTTCGAATTCCGTAGAAGGTATGGTTGTAACTCTCCGTCCCTTCGTAGGAAGTAACGGTGACCCCTTATATTAGGTACCTCCACAGTAAAATGGCCGCCACTTCTGGCCTTAGGAGTGGTCGGAAGAAGACAAAATAGTGCCCACATTTTGAAAAAGAAAACTTATTGTAGCAACTTAAACTCTTATGACACAATTACAAGAGCTCCTTGCTTTTACAACTGCATTTAGTCGTGCAACACTTCTTTCTTTTCGGCTTCTCGTTTCGACCTCCTACAGAACAAATCAGTACTTATCGACATATACCGGCGAAGGTCAGAACGACTAAGAATGTAACCAAATATTTGGTATTTCATCGACGTATATGTCAAGTGTTAACATTCATCGGTAAATATCGATATTCTCAAATTTTGGTCTTTCACTGTAATATTTAGATTAATTGCATTTTTAATGCCTAAACTTAGCATTTTGTAAGCAATCCTCGTGCTTTTAAAGGAGAAGTAAAGGAATCTGAACTCCTCAAGACTTATTCTTAAAATTTTCTTTCAGATTTTATGATATATAATGTCAGAATTAATCTGGTGATAAATTAACAAATGTATGATTACGATAGAAGTATGTTTTTTGTGAAACGTTTATTAAATTTTGATGTAAATTGGTTTACAAAGCGTTAGGATGCAAGAGTAGAAGTAGCTCATACTTTCACTTCAGCGGGATCACATAGTGCTGATAAACTATGGCCAAAAAAATAATAACGCGAACAAATTTTTAGTCTATGATTAGGATAATATATATGCAAATTTTACTGTCATTACTGTTCATCAAACATTTGCTGTAGTATAATTAATTGACTGGTCTTAGATCTTGTTGTATTTGTCACGCTGGCGAAAACTGTTTCGGCGGCCTTCCTTAAAAGCCTTAAAGAGCAAAATCATGATAGACTGTTCCAAAAAGGATACTTTTCACTGTTCTCAATTTGATTATTCAACGAGACGCCCATTTCCATTCACCCCCTGGGCACTTCCTACCTCACCCCTTTCTAAAACTGCTGTTAGATTTTGGTGTATGGTATGAAATTATAAAGTCCGGGTACCAAATGTTATAAAATTTAAGCCGGTAGTAAACTAAAAAGGAAAGTTTATAAAAAATGCTTAAAATAAATTTGAAAGTCATGGTAGCAAAACTGCTAGTGAAATATTTAAAGTTAGATATTTTAAATATTTTTCTGCGCTGCTGTCGTAATACCCCGAATAAAAGACAATGTTAAGATTTAATTTTGGTGTGCCTTAATAACCTAAAATGACATGAAAAATAAATATCGACTTACCCATATGCAGTAGCAAAAAGGGACACGTATTACCATCACCTGTGAAACATGCATTTATTCATAACTTTAAAATACATTGATAGCTATTGATAAATAATTGGTCACAAAAGTCTACACAACACTAGTCACAAAATAACACTCGTGTTCGTCGTAGAAGAACAGTACTTCGAAGTTAACAAAATCTTGAAACATTGTAAAAGTTACTAATTAAATGTCAACGCCATACTTGCAGAAAACTATATGACTTGGTAGGAAAGTGAAACGTCCAGCTGTTTTTTCACAAATTGCGCTGGTTGGTCATCCTCGTTGGCAGGTATAAAACTAAGTTATTGTATGAACACGCGCGAAAACTTGTTGAAGAAAACTGTAGTGCCGAAAAGTTACCAGACAAGTGTTGCTGTCTTCATTCACACATACATGCGTAACACACAAATGGAAAAACAAGGTAGGAAAGCGAGTGAACTTTAAACCGGTCTATTTATAGTCTTTTTAGCTAACGTCCATTACTGTTGAAATAGAATTTGGAGGGTAAGGGCTTGCCATCACAGTATACAACAGAGTTTTACATTGGCTTTATTTTTTATTTTTCCGTTGTCTCGTGCAATATAATTTCAGCTAATTTGATTATGTTAATTAAGCCGATTGTTCTTACTTTAACAATATGCTGATAATTTTTCACTGTAAATAAATATAAATTATTTGAATATTTTTACTTACCTGGTATTGTTATGAAAAATATCATGTCTTTAATCTCACTATCTAGGTTTTTGTCTCTCTCGCAAGTCCTTTGCAGTTTGATATAATTGATATCTTCAATTATTTTGTTATTTTAAGCTAAAATGAGCGATAGTCGATATTTAAGTGCTTGTCTGAATTTATTTATTTATTTATGAATGAATTTCATTTATTTATTTTTTAAATTTACTTTTGTGTTTATTGATTCTAATCTTCTTTTTTCAGATCTGCTCCAAGTAACCAAGGACCTTACCTGAAAACTCCAAGTTACGATTTAACAGAAGAGCAACTTATGGCAAATATAGAAAAAGAATTCGAGCTTACGACAGCTATGTGACTATGAGGAACAAGTCTCTAAAGAAACTGTGTGATTGACAAGAAAGTTTAATAATATTCAAACAATACATCTGTTACATTATTTAAATACTTAATTCTACGTTAATGTCAGTTCATAGTCATCATCTTTAATGGTGAATTATCTTAAAAATTTCATTATAACACGATGCTGAAACCACAAGAGAAACTTAACTTCAGCAACATTTAGTGCTGATCTCAAGAGTGGACATCATCATGAGATATGGACCAAAAAGCAACACAAGCATGAAGCCCAATAAGAACCTAATGTAACATGCCAGTTAACCTAATTTGAATGGTGAACTAACAAATTCAATTGAGGAAGGAAGATTATTAACCATGGTTTTGCTTGAATTGTAAATATGTCAAAGTATTTTTATGAGAAAAACATTAAGTTGTGTAAATTAAGAAATTAATACTTTGTATTTTACTTCTAAATATGATAGGCAAACAAAGTCATCCCAAAAGGCAAGTTTTTATTTTATTAAAAATATGAATCTTCCACTAAGATTATAAAGTGATTCCGAGGAAAAATTCGGGAAACATTTGAAAAAAATCTTAATTTCATGTTACTTTATATTTCATAGATCTGTATTATATCACCTATTTTTATTGGAATTGTATGTTTTCTGTTTACTTACTTTAATTGTTTTCATTTATGTGCTTGTTTATTCTTATTTTTTAAGAATTTTTACCCTCCCTCCCATGTGTGCAGATAATCACAAACACCATCTTAATTAGAATAATTTAAAAGGAGAAATAAAGAAACAAGTTTTTGACTGATAAGAATTCTACTTCTGAATTCGGTGAAAATTCTAAAAGTGCCAAAATTAATTCTTTCAAATTGCAGTTAAAAAAATCGGTCCTAGTTACATATTCGCTTCCTTTGCCTAAGAAATTTAGTTTTGAAAAACAAAGTAAAAGAGGGAATTAAATCGTTTGATTTATTCAAGAAGCAAATGGCACTTTCATAACTTCGCCTGACACTGTTTTGCGTTTGCTTTATATGAATTCTTCTCAAATGTATCTTTGCTTTAGATTATTCGGATATATTTGTTTTCGTAGTTCTTAATTAAAACTTTAATTAGATGCAAATGTGCTTATGTTATGTTAAATAAACCCTTTATTTCACTGATATTCATTTGCGAAAATATGTTAATTTAATTTTTTAAATTTCTCAATTTTTAATTTAATTTTATTTCTTGTTTTTTTGATCCTAAAATTAATTAACTTCATCTGGTAATTTTTGTTTTGGAACTAGAATAATTTTCTACTTGACTTATTCAAAAGAATATTAATTTAATATGTAGCAAACTTAATACAGAATAACAGTTTTTTTTTTAAGTCGAAATCAGAAAATTATCATTTTTGAGATTTCTTATATCCTGATTTTTAGCTTTTTAAAATTATTATCTTATTTTATTAAGTTATTTTAAGGCAAAATTAAAATATCATGTTAAAAGAAGCATTTAAGAACTTATTAATTATTTTATTTATTTATTTTTAACTATTAAACATTAATTATTTTATATTAATCAATAGGCATGTAACGAAAATAACGCAGTAATTAAATAAAATAATAAGCATTTTGAAATTCACTATTTTTCATTGCAAATAGCAGTATATGCGGCAGTTATATTTTTCGTATTTTGATAAATATTTCAATAAAATAATAATAATTTTGGAATGCATTATTTTCACTACATATTCCTTGGTGGTTAGTAGTATATGCGCAGATATTTTTTCGTATTTCGGAAAATAGTTCAAAGTAACTTATCAGGAAGTTTTTTCTTTAAGACAGACACTCAAAATCAGGAAATTTTTATGGTAAAAGTGTTCATTCTGTATTAAAGAACTTAATGTACATAATTATTGTGTAATTTTGTGCATTGTTTTGCGTCGATAATAACTGTCTTCCTCGTTTAGATGAGCTAATTCTGCTATATGGCAAGTATGTTAAGCTTAGTGTTGTGCCAATTAAATTGTAATGTAATGGTTAGTTGTTTGTACTTTTGTTAAAAATGTCTACACAGTTTTAGCTGTTGGCATTTCTTGTAAATACCGAATTGAAACTAATATTGTGTAAATATGGATGCTTGTAATTTACATGGTTATAAGAAGTGAAATATAGATTATAAAGAGAAAATAAGGTAATAAAAATATTAAGTTTGAATATTTATGTCTCTTTTAACGTTGTTGGCGAATTTTAACTGAATCTTTGCAGGATAAAAATAACTTCTTGCAGCTAGAAACGTTCAGTGTAAACTAGATAATATAAATTGAGAGAAAGCATTTTTTTAGTTTGAGCGCTAATATATGTACGTATCAACTATTAAAAATCGTATTGATTATAATTAATTTCAGAACAAAAGCTCCTGAAATTGTACTCCTGTTACTGGATAAAAAAATAATATTAAAATATTGTATAACACCATCCCATAATTTAAGCCCCATATATTTTGTATAGATACGCTTTGTGTAGTCATTTATGTACATAAACGCTTTGTTAAAATATTGTTATATTAAATGTGTTTGAGCTGCTTAAATGTGTGTTTAGTAGTGTTCGTATTTTAAAAGTTGCATACAAAATGCTTTAAAATTCATCTCATACTTGTCATTAGACAAAATAATTATAATAATAATAATAGAACAATCAAAGCAGTCATCTTTAATATTCTAATAATCAGCATAGCACCTATATAAATGCAACACATTGGTGATTGTCTGCGACATTCATACGTATGTATTACAAAATTAAGTGCAAAGATAAACTGCAAAGTTAAAAGCGTCCCTCCACAAAGATCAGTTGAAAGTTAAGAAATACCAATTGATAGATTTACAGCATTAATAATAAATGCTATAAAGCTATAATAAAATTGCTATTTATAGTTTGTAACTGCGATACTGTTTCATTTCGTTTCGGTATGAAGGTGCTAGCATGTATCACATCTGGTGATGTATGCTAACACTTTCATACCTGTAGGTGGTATCTTCACATCTGGTGTTATCATGTATACATATAGTTTACTGTATTATGAATTACATACATAATAAATTATTGTATTAGGAATTACATACATAATACAGTAATTTTACAAGAATTATTCGGCATACGTCTTCAGTAATCTTAGGCGTAGCAGCTTCGTTATAGCATTCCTAATGCCAAGTGTTCAAAGCATTCCTGAAAGAGGACGTGTGGAGTGTCACTATAATACTCGTAAGCATAATATGTTAAAAGCAAATCTTTCCAAAGTTATCTAATTGCCATAATGATTTTTATTAAGTAGCTACTAATAAGAAATAAAATTGATTTGCTGTTTGATTTTTGGCACTACGCACTGTAATGAATAAGTATTGATTTATCTTTTGTCTTTCGGTTACTGGGAACGCAACGCAAATGAAATAACAATTTAATTACTTATGCACATAATTTTGAGGTATTATTACTACACTGACACACTTCTAACGAGAGCCCTGCTCCCGTGAATTGGAAAGGAAAAGAACTACCATTCCTTTTTTGGCGATCACTGTCCATTCGCTCAGCAAAGCGAATCGTATCTTTAAATCAATTCCGGGGAGAATCTCCAACTCCGTCCAGCATCCTTCTATGCTCAGGTAAGGAATCTCAGATCGAATTCAGTGATGCGTCCCTCAGTTATGCGGCCATAAATCTTGCAACCGTGTTAAACTGACATACAAAAATGTCTAATTCCATAAAGAATTTCCCGTAAAGTTTCGCAAGGCAACTTCTCAGAGTTTTGATGTTGCTAGTGTATTTCTATTAATGCGATATCCGTTCTATAATAGAAAATGATGTTGTGTTCCCTAACTGCTATAGAAATTCGTACTTTTAATTGATTTGTGGTCTGCTATTGACAGTAGTTCCGACATTTCAAAACAAGAAGTTTTTTGTAAAAAACGTTAAGAGCTAGTACTTCATCAACATTTATATAGGTTATGAAATTCAGGGCATCGCTGAGAGAACGAAGAATAAAATTCTCTGTCTACAATTTAACCTCCCTGAGATCTACTGAATATACAGATCCCGTGCATTTGGTGTTTGCAACCTACCGTGCTGTACCCTCGAATTACTAGTTGCGCCCAATGAGCAGTATATTCCAGAAAATTGTGCATTACACGGAGCAGTGATCCATAATGGTAATTTAATTGTGATCATTTTGCATGAGCAAAAGTCTTCTTGTTTATTTAATCAAGCAAATTCGTAGATTTTAAGTAACTGATTCATGTTATTCGAAAAGCAATAGGAGATGAAATTGCCATTTGCAATAATGAAAAGTAATAGTTCTTTCAATTAAACAATAATAAAAAGAAAAGTAATAGTTCTTTATAAAAAGAAAAGTAATAACTCTTTCAATTAAACGAAGTTTGTCAAGCAACTTCTTTTCTTTGATAGTCCTTTAATTAATTAAAATGTAAATCTTATATGTTTTAAAGCATCACCAAAGTAAAACTGTGTAAAAAACTTACTCTTAATATCACCATTTAAAGGAAACTACTTATTCCATAATAACAAACACAACCTCAAAAGAAATTTCTGATTGTTAAGAGTAATAATTCAGGTAAATGTATTTTAAAGCCTGCATGACAGAAAAAAAAAATGTTATTTAGTTGCTGGGTATGAAATATCGGATTTTTGGGATGAGAATGTTTTCGTGTTATAAAGCAGGATCAGATATGGCAACCGTGAATTAGGCATTAAAATTTAAATACTCATGTATGTGCTCAGCAAAAATTTAAGTGGCATATTTTTGCATGTGTCATTTGACTTTTTGATTAAAATTGCGCTATTCATTTTTCGTCGTTGGCATCGCCCAGTTACTTGCTGGTTGATCATGTCAGAAGTCCGAACTGAAAAACTTGAATAGAAAACTGATTATTAACTTGTACGAATTTAAAAATTTATTTCTAGAAGCCCTATGTCCTTAATACAGGCAGGCTAGTCCAGTGTACCTCAAGAAAGAGAATGAGTCGTTTTTTACATGTTAGGACTAAGACTCAATATATTCCCTTGGGAGCTTATTATATAGTGAAAGGAGCTTGGCGTTCCTCAATTAGTTGCTTCTAGACGAATCGACGAAATGATTTATTTTCCATTATAAACTCGTAGTAAATTAATTTATTTACTTCTAAGAATAGACTTGTAGATGTCTTCATTACAATTCGCCATTGTTCGATCATCTCTTATATTCTGTCCTCCTTCCTTCGCTTGCTGAACTGCATTCCCCCTTTTTCGTCTTATTAAACCAGTTCGCGGGTACTTTATGCCACAGTGTAATAAAACTCCAAAAATATATTAAAAGTCGCCAAGAATTTCATTATAACAGATATATGATCGAATGGTTAACGCAGAGAATAGTCTAAAACGGATGCTTTTCTTTCAGAAGTTTAAAACTATCCACTTTATCTAGGAACGTATTGCTATTAGTAGCGCTTTCGACTATGTTCTCAACTCTACTAGAGGCAATATGTGGATCCTGACAGACAGCAGAAGCTTCATCAAGTATTTAAAGAACTGGTTGAAGAGCACGGTGAGTACTTTTAAAATTATTATTTCCAGTTAGTTTCAAAGGAAACGTGTGTTTCCAATGGATACTTTCACATGCGGGTGTGCCTGGAAACGAGACCTCTATTATGCTGCTTAGAAGGGATTGTGATTTCTCTGATTCCAGTACCACTGTCTTGTATCCTTCGAAAATTCAATCCATCCATAGAATTAAAATGAATTCGACCTGGCAAACCCCTATTATTCACCACTTCGGTACGCAGAAAAAGCCCCAGTCTCTTTCTGCAGTGCAGGAGATCCGGGGTCGGCCTTGGAGCAGCTTCGTATTGGACGCCTTCGTTGTTATGACGTTTGTGTAGGGGGGGGCAAAATCTTCTCTGCTTGTATTTCTTTTCCTCCCTGATACTCCTCATCTCCTGAACTGTATGGTCATTTCCCCTGGACAGTTGATGACACAGCAAGATTCTGTTTGTGATGTATTTTGTTGCGTGGTCATGTTAGACTTGCTGTAGATTTGATGTAAGCAGAAATAACAGCGGCAACAAAACTATCCACAACGAAGGAGGTAATCAAATATCTCAAAAGACCATTCGGAACTTACATAAAAACCGACAGCATAAATAAAAAAGGTTTTGAAGATCTCTGAATTTCTGATATGATCTTTGAAACTGAGCAGCAAACAACTCCCATCAATAATTGATACTTATGCAAACTGACTTTCGGAAACTATAAGAATATATGCAAATGTAATCTATACGACAGTTTCCC